TGATCAAAAAAAAAAAAAATAAAAAAAAAAAAAAAAGAAAGAAGGAAGGAGGAGGGGTCAGTGACCTGAACATGCTCCATGCACTTGTTTTGAGGTGAGGGCTTTCGTCTTGTGGTTGGCGTTCTCAGCTCTGATATGCTGAACAAACCATTCCTAGGATGCCAAAGCGCAGTTTGGGTGAAAGGGTTAATTTGATTTGGTTTAAGCATTTCACCAGAAGTCTGGTTAAAATTTAAAGAAATGTTTTCCTTGGGTTTAAGGAGCAATCTAAGACACTGAACCCATGGCAGTAGGGCACCAGGCAAAAAAGAATTCCCATGTTTTTAGCCCTAGTTTGCAATTCAGTCCAGGGCTTGCAAAAACCAATTTCTGTGGCTCCCTATATAATCTCCGTGTGGCGCTAGAAAGTGGGCTGGATGATGCTGTTTCTAGTTTTTCTTTTTAGCCACATGTCACCAAATATAGCAGATGACATAAATGGCACATGGGATCATATGTGAAGGCAGGACTTTGGTGCGTGTCTGACTTCATTGACTCACGGTCCTAGCTCCTCTCAGGAAGTACTTACCTTTGTGTGTGTAAGATTTCATAAGAACCCCTGTTCTTACTCCCTAAAATTACTGTAACTTTGTATAACTTCCTGCTGTTGGCCAGCTTTTGAGAGCATGGGAGGTCTGTGACCCGTCAGCAGGGTCTCTGGATGGAAACCAACTGAATCGCGTCCATTGTTTGTTCCCTGTCCAGGCACCTGTTAAAAATGAACAAGAGCAGCTCTGACTTGGAAAAAGTGAGCCAGAGTTCTGCAGAAAGCCTCAGCCCGTCCTTCAGAGCAGCCCACGTCAGCTTCACCACGGGCTCCACAGACAGCCTTGCCTCAGACTCCAGGACCTGCAGCGATGGAGGTAACCACCCTGGCTTACATTCTACAGAGTCCGAAAACCAGACCTGGATTGGTTACTAGGATTTGGAAGGCCTGAGCAAGCCTTTTCAGTCCTGGAGCTGCTTTGTTCAGGAAGGAGACCTTACCCAGGGGCTGGTCAGGTTTATTTCCTCCGTGATTACAAGTGTACCACCTTGGTGACAGGGCAGACTGTTGAGGGTTGACTTGATGGTGCTGGTGCTGTGTTTACTGTGCAAGCATGAAGCCTTGAGTTTCTATCCCCAGAGATGGGCTGTGGGGACGCAAAGATTAGTGGATTCTTAGTGCTTGCTGGCTAGCCAGTCCAGCTGACTCGGTGAGCTGCAGAATTATTAGGAAACCTTTTCTCAAAAAATAAGATGGAGAAGTGATTGAGGAACGCACCTGATGTTAAATTAACCTCAGGCTGACACATGCATATGAAAACATACCATACACACATGCACACAGACACATACATACACACATACCATACACACACACAAATACACAACATGTTGGAAGTGCCCTGATTCTCTGAGTACCAAGTCAGCCATAAATAGTGCCTCCTGTCCACCAGAGTTCCTGGAACCTCAGATGTTTTGGTGTCTCATTTACATGCATGTACATGCATACATACATGTACACAATAATGTTTGCATAAATGTTTGTTAATTAAAATAGGATGGCTTTATGAGGCCATTGCCCAACCCTATTCTATATCAACCATTGAAACATAATATGTGGATATGTCCTGTTGCGCATATTTTTAAAAAAGAGCCCAAGGTTTTCTGCCCTTGTGGATTTAGTGGTAATGCTGATGACCTTTCTCGCCTTGGGCATGCTCTGTGTGACTCTTCTCTTACTCTTCTCCTAGGCTTCCTTCACATGCTAGAGTTATACCTGTCCTGGTGTGACTTATTCATTTTATGAAAGTACTTTTTCTCAAGTGGCATTTTTGGGGTAGAGGACCCCACAGCACATTTCTATCAGCAAACATAGATTATGAGTTCTCTCATGAGAAACCACCACTAGTTCTCACCCAATAACAGGAAATGTATTCATCTTGATTTGGGGGAAAAGTAACAAAAACAAGATTGTCCTTTTTTTTTCCTGCAGCTCCTCTAGCCCCCATCGCCTTCCTTTTCCCATCCCACTGTGCAAAAACTCAATGAGGCAGATTATTTCCTGCAAGCCTGAGTATCTGAGCCGTGCCCCCATGCTGTCCAGGTCCAGTGTGTTCTCTTGTGGTATCAAGAGAACCTGACTGAAGTGCTTTACCGTAGATCTGTTCTCAGAGCTGGGAAAGACACGATTAAAACATGCAGGACACGTGGGTGGGTGGGTGGGTGGGTGGGTGGCATAAGGCAGGAAAATCAGATTGCCCCAGAATATGAGAGCTTATAAATGAGTGTGGACGGAGGATTCCAGGATGCTTTTTTGAGAAGGTCGGACTTTTTTGAGAAGGCCGACAGCATGATTAGAAATGAGCATGTGGGAGATGAGAATCAAAGGATTTTCCAGGGTGCCAAAACAGTCCAGAGGAGCCAAAGGGACACTGGGAAAAGGAGAGCCACTTGACATGTTCTTCTGTGTGCAGACGAGGGAAGCGACCCTGTTCTGTGGGAAGCTGGGCTGCACAGTGCAAGGCATTCATTCCGAGCTGTCTGTAGAGTAGGATGCGGGGAGCCACCTGCATCTTGTGAGGACAATGGTGGCACTTGATAAAGGCATTTTCTCGTATTACTTTCTGAATAGCATGAATCAAAATGAATTTATTTTCATGGTTGTTTTAAAAAAAAATCAGCATTCAGTGGACAAGAACCTCAAAATTTAGGTTCCACTAGTAATCAAGGCGTGTTGACCCTTTGCAAGCTAGTTCTCTCCCTCTCCCTCTCCCTCTCCCTCTCCCTCTTCCTCTCCCTCTCCCTGTCTCTCTCTGTTGTTGCTGCTGCTCTTCCATATGGGTCTGGATCAGGGCTAAGTTTTGAAGCTGACAAGAGAAATCCTTCCTTTGGCTTCCCACCATGGATCAGGTCCACTTGCTTTTCGATGTTTTTGTTTTGCTTTGGGTTTGTTTTTTTGTTTGCTTGTTTGTTTGCTTGTTTTTATTTGGGGGGGCTGTTCTCTGTGTAGCCTTGACTGTCTTGAAACTTGCTCTGTAGAACAGGCTGGCCATGAACTCAGAGATGCTTTGCCTCCCAATAGCTGGGATTAAAGATGTGCAACTGCCCTCCCCCACCCTACTCCTACCCCCATCCCCTCCCCTCTGGCACTTTCAGACTCTTACAGAACCCTCTCGTCCTCCAGGCCCAAAAGTTCTTATCTGCTTATTTCTTATAACTGACATGCTTGTGCATCTCGACTTTTTGACATTTAGAACAGACACTGAGGCTGTGAATCAGAAGACAAGGCATCCAGCCAAGCTGAAGCTGTGGGAAATGGGAATCAGTGTCAGCCTCACTGGTGTTTTATGGAAAGGCAAAAGAAACCATTGGGTTATGCATTTATCTGCAGCAATAACTCACTGGTGAAGAAAAGCATATCTCCCTGGTGTTTTGCATCTCCGATGTGACCTGAGTTGAAGAAATGGTCACCCGATTGCCCATCACAGCTGTAGTTTATGTAAAATTGTTAGGAATTTATCTGCTGTCCAGCTTTAACAGCAAAAAAAGCATTTAAGTTGTATAAGGATATAAGCCCTGGTGGAGGCTCTAGCTTTTAATCCTAGAAGTTGGAGACAGAGGAGGGTAGATCTCTAAGTTCAAGGCCAGCCTGGTCTATGTAGATAGCCGGGGCTATGTAGAGAAACCATGTCTCAAAAATCCTGCTCCAACAAAAAAGAGAATATAGTTCAAAGCTGTTCAATTTTTAAAGTAGGAGTTTATCTACATTTTAAAGTAACAAAATGATATTTTTGTATCATTGTAAAACTTTCCACCTTGATCAGATCTCTTATCCCTCCTAGTACATCTGTTATGACAGTTTTGTCTGTGGGTGGCAGTTTGTTAAGCAGAGAGCTGCTGAGCAGAAGGACAAAGCTAGCGCAGCAGTGGTTTGGATTGCGTTTGGTTCCAGAAGGACAAATGCAATTGTTGGGTTGGGTCTGTTGAAGAGAATGGATGGTTGGCTGTGAGGGAGACATCACTGGCTAAATGGCCAGCAGAGGACCTTATGCGCTAAGCACCCACCTTTAAATACAAACCTAAAGCTGAGGATGGCTGTGCAGGCCTACATTCTGGCACTTGGGAGGAGGAAGCAAGAGCATCAGTAATGCAAAGTCATCCATAGCAATGTGGCTGGTAATCCAGGCCAGCTTGGCCTATAAGAGATGCTGACTCAAAACAGCTACAAAACCCCACAGAAATGCAGACTTAATGTCATATTAAGGTAGCTTCCCTCTTTAACGTAACTGAGTGATGCAACGGACAGAGGTTAGAATTTGCTGTTTAACAGGAAATCACCAGCGTCCGCAACAGAACAGAGCAGAGAGCTCTAACCATGCAGAGGACATGGACTCTCACCAATACAAGAGCCAGAACTGTACTGCTGGCTCTTATTTTATAGCTAGGAAGCCAGAGCTAGAGCAATGTAACTAAATATGTTATGGCATTAATCGCCTTGTTTTTCTCCACAGTAATGCCAATAGGTTTTTTTTTAATATATACATATATGTGCGGCGTGTTTCTATACATGCACTGTCATTCATCTGATAGATATTTGGCATAAACTATATGCTGGGTACAATTCCAGCTGCTGAAGACCCAGAAAAACTGCCCCGCTCTTTCCTTCACAGGGCACACGGCTAGTCACACACATGCAATGGAGAATGCTGTGGAGAAAGAGCGAGCCAGGAAGGGGGCGGGGAAGTGTAGAAGCTCCTGTCAAGGAGACAGGAAGTCCACAAAGATTAGACTAGTCAGGATGAGTGACAGCCTGACCTTCAGCAAGCGCTTGTTCCCCTCTCCGACAGTCACCTCCAGCTCTGCAGCGAAGAGGTCGGATTTTTTTTCAAAAAGATCCGCAAAGAGGCACCCACAACTGTCTACCTAAATTTAGTGTGTGCTCATCAGACAGGCTTATTAGATCGCTTGATCTTAAATCCATAGGTTCAGACCGATGCCTTATATAAGTAACTTATCCTAACCCAGTATATGCCCCCAGCCCATCAAGAACTGAGTTGGAAATTCTTTCCCAGATGTTGCTGAAGGACAGAGGTTTGTCCCAGAGGAAAATAGACTCTGTTTAAATACTCTGAGTATCCAGAGCTACCGTGCTGGCAAGAGGGTTCATCTTAAACAGTTCACTGTAAGCTGCAAAGAAGTCTGCAGTGGAAAGCCTCTCATCTGACGCTCCATCCCAGGGCCCATTGCCACTTTGAACACTTTTTTCTATGCCATTATGAATCAAAGTGTCATAACATTCAGCGTACTACTGAATTTTATGAAGTGGAATCCTGGGACACACACTGGGGAGATTTGTTTTGCGTACCTATCTGTGAGACAAATTCTTAAAAGAAATAGAATCGCTGCATTTAAATTTGGATGTATTTTAAGTAGTTGTCCTCAATTTGTCCTCTAAAAATGTCAGCTTACCTTTCTACTAACTGCATATGAAAAGTGACTTGAACGAAGTTTTAATGTAAGGACCCTCACTGGTTGTGTCACAACAAGGGTTTTGAAAGATCTCAATCTCAGAGGCCCAGCTGGGCTGCTGGCTGGAAGAGGAGGCATGGGGGCTGCCTTCCAAAGGGCATTGCGGCCTTGATTGCTGGTTGCAGGCATGATGGAGTGGTCTGTCGAGATTCCGCACAAATGCCACGTTTTCCGTCCAGCTGCAAAATGCTAATAATATGCTTCCAGCTCGAGCCACATTTATCTTCCTGGAAAAGCAAGGCATTCCTTTAAAAAGAATGCTCTGCCCTCCCGGTTCCTTTATTTTTCCATGTGATTATCCAGCTTCTTCAGGTTCTGGAATCAAATGAGAAATTGCACAACTTCCCTTTGGAAAATTGTGAATCTGGAGAATGCCTGAGCCCCTTCCCTACCCATCAGTTGGCAGAAACCTCCCAGACTGCCTCTTCCTGCGTGACACGGTGCCTACACAGGTGGTTTGTCTGTATTTTCCTCATCTCTAATGAGAGGAGCAAAGGGTACAGGATCTGGGCAGCGTTTTCTCCATCTGACTTGTTTCTAATGTCTTACACTTAGTAGGTGCTTACAAAATATTATCCAATGGAGTGGGCAAATCTTTGAAGCTGTTTGCTCGGCTACACTTGATTGGCAAGTGTCAATCTACAGAGAGTAGTTCAAATTTTTCGCATACACATAAAAATTCAATTGGCTTCACTTTACTGATTATTGGGGCAGTGGCTAATGCAAATGTGCAGAGCTTGGAGATCCCTTTAGATTGTAGACTGTGCCTTCTATAGCCATGCTTGTTCAGCCTGGCTACAGGCAGACAGTGGTACACAGAACCATGCCCACTCAGTATGGCCCAACACAGGGCTGACCACTTCCTGTGTAAACCCGGCTCTCATTTGGCTGTAGAGACTGTGGAAGTACCTATTAAAACCCAGCAAGGAGAGAAGACTCTATCATAAGGTAGACCTCATGTTACCACATTTGAACTTTCGCCCTGCATTCTGAGAAGGGACTAACCTGTTTTTTTTTGCTATCCTGACTTCTTTTTTGCTTTCTAAATATAAAGACACCAAACTCGTAGACAAGATGCTACCCTCCCTCTGCCTTTGTGAGATCCACCCAGCATGCCTCAGGTAACACTTTCCATCAGAGGAGCTTTCTCTTGTCCAAAGTACTTACATAAAAGGGATGAGTATGGTGTATGTGGAACTGTAGACTGGAAGGAAAACTCGGGAAATGGTGTTGAGAACCTCTTTGTCTTAGTTTGCATACAAAGTTACTCAGCCGGGAATTTAGCTTTCAATGTTAGAGTGTTTGCCTACTTCCCAGAAAAAAAATTCCCAGCCTTTCCTACTCTTCAGTGTAAGTCAGAAGTTGGAGACAGTGGTCCAATGCCAGCATGCAACCAGAATGTGGTGGAATTAGTTTCGTGGGCCATTGAGTTTGAGTCTTTCTGGCCATTGGCCAAAGCCGTTCAGGATTTCTTTTTAGGCAGATTTTCCTGGATCAGGTGGCTTACCTGTGAACTACAAAAGCATTTTGGGTGTCAGGGTATGCTTGTCCTCTTCCGGCTTTGCTGAGTGCAGACCGCAGCAGCTGCTATGAATGGTAACTTAGGCAATTCAGCATCCAAATGCTATTGGCCCAGGGCATTGTAGAAGAACTGGTACTCCAGGAAAGAATCAAGAAAGTCGGGGTCAGTGCCCTCTCACCCGGAGTGACAGCTGGAGAAATCAGTTCCATGTAGAAACATCCATTTCAAAGCAGCTCGAGTATAGCCACACTGGAGCAATTCCAGAACCCTGAGGTGTTTGCAGCTCCATCACTGAGTCTTCTCACCTGCTTGAATGGGTACAGGAATGTGCACGTGTGTGCGCTTGTGTGTAATGGTCAAAGACCACCTTCAAGTGTCAGCCACATGCTGTTGTGGTTGCTATGTAAGGTTTACGGCATGGTCTCATTGACCTGAACTGGACATAGTAGCCTAGATGGGCAAGCCCTAGGGAACCTGCCTGTCTCTCCTTCTCAACACTAGTGGTGGGATTACAAGCTTGGACCGCCATGTCTTTCCTTTTAAATGGATCCTGGAGCTCACACTAGGGTCTCTCTATCGCCTAAGTTGTCTCTCCAGATCCTTTTTTTATTTAAAAAAATGAAAATAGGTATGTATAAGGCCCAGTTAGATACATGAAGTCCACGCTTCAAGTGAGCCACCAGTCCCTGAGGAGCAACCTCACGGTTTTCCGTCTGCTGGGCAGGTATGTGATAAAGGAGTGGTTCTGCAGCGCCTCCTTCTCGTTAGCTGGAGCACCATGGCACAACCTCACAGAACCTAAGAAATTAAAACATATTTGACCGGCTTACCTGCCCATACCTGTTTCAGAGCACCTGGTATCCTTAATGTGCCCAAGCAGCTATAGGGTTCCAATCAAAATTGCCCACCAACTCAGTTCCTACAGGATTGTCATGGGGACACAGTAGGGTAGGAGGAGAGTCTTCTCCTCAGGTGCCTGAGCCCTTGTTCATTTCAGTTATAGTTTTTTTTTTTAATGGGGGAAACTGATGGATATGACTAGCTTATTCCTGCCTTTTGCTCTCAATCAAGTAGAAGCATAAAAGGGGATGCTGGTGGCATCCAGAAAGTTGACATTAAAGATGAGGACAGACCCAGCCAAGCTTAGGAAATCAGAACAAAGTTTAAAGGAACGACAGGCCAAGGCACTGACTTGTTAGCAGCCCCACTGGCACCTTGAGCAAGGGATGGGAAAGGAACCCTATCCCTGCGCACGCTGCTTCTGTCTCTGGAGGTACTGAATCAGGTGCAAACCAGGTCTTCAGATTTCACTCCACTCTCAACCTTCACTTTCAGCCCTTGCTCTAGTGATAGTACTACATTGGCTGTTTTCTGGTACCCAGAAGGCAAAGTGATGACAAAATCAATGTATCCCAAGTGCCTGCCTTTTTGCCCATGAACCTAGCCTTCTGGACTTGAGGAGCCTCATAGGCAGGTGTCATGCTCCTGGATTTTTAAAGTCAGGGTGTGAGGGAGCAATCCTCCTCCTTCGTCCATTTCTTCTGTTAGAATGGAAATGAATCACCTTTAAACTTTGTCCCCATTACTGACCCAGTCTGTGGGGGCAGAGCCACTTTCCTGGGGAGCATGAGACTTGAGGACTTCAGGTTTGCAGAGCCTGCTAAGGTCAGAGTCCAGTGTGGTCTCCCTGCCTCACACTGGCTGGTTCTGGGACCCTATCTGCTGCGACAACGAGGGAACAGTTCCTAGACATGGGAAGCCTGATGGTCCCCACTGTGCCTGTGCTGCTGCTGCTTGTCCAAGCCTCCTGGGACGAACATAAATCATTCACTTAGCCTTGTTAGCAGGAGCTCCCAACACCCCACCCTCTCTGAGCCTGCCTGCCTGTCTGTCTGCCTTTAGCTAAGCAGGGCCAGGTGGAAAGGGTAGCTGCAGTGATCCTGATCAGCTATATATAAACCAGGCAGCAAGAGCAAAAGCTAAGAGCAGGCTAAGAGAGGACGGGGAGGACAGTTTGCCATACCTCATGTGTATTGTTTAGTTTTCTTTTTTGTTGTTGTTGTGCGAGTGGGGCCTCATGTAGCCTAGGCTAGCCTTGAACTCAATATGCAGCTGAAGATGGTTCTGAATTTTTAATCCTTCTGGTTACTAAACTTTCTACAGACTTGCCTTACTGTAACTTCAGCAAGGTATTTGTGAAAGCTGAAAGTACTACACACTAAGAGAGATCTGATCAGGAGAGATGCACACTCATTAAAGTATGCCATGCTGTGGAGCATGAAGACATGAGTTCCAGAACCCATGTTACACACACACATGCACGCACATATCATCTATAATCCCAGTGCTGGAGAAACAGACAGGTTTGTCCCTAGAACTTGCTGGCCAGCTTACTCGCCCAATGGGTGATCCTCCTGCCAGTTAAAAGGCCTTTTCTTAAAAATCAGGGTAGGTGGCACCTTAGAAACGACAGCTAAGGTTGACCTTTGTCTTCTATGTTCATGTGTACATGTGTGTCCTTGTTTATACATTTATAGCCACACATACACACATCACAGAAACACAGACATAGAAGGTGGGATACAAAGCACTTTTTTTCCTCTAGTAAACAATACGTTCCTAAGCCTTAAAAAGTGGACTCAAGCTAGTGTGTTCAAGATTACGATTGTCCTTACAGCGCTGTTTGCCAAGCTTTAGAATCACCTACGTGTCTATCAAGAGATGGCTAGTTAAATTATGACATTTACCTTATGATAATATATTGTGACACTGAATTTAGGAGAAGGAAATAGATGAAATCTCTCCAAGATGTGAAGCAAAAAGTGGTGTTCTAAAGAACAGACACTATTTGCTCCCATGCATGAAGATTTATTTGGGTTATTGGAACAAGATGTAAGAAATTGCTGGTGGAGACGTTTCCTGGGTGAAAGGTGCTCAGTGCTAAGGAACCAAGCACAAGGGAGATGTAACTGTCCGTGTGTACCATTCACGCACCATGCACACACCATCTAAAGAAACAGAAAAGAAATGTGATAAAATGAATTGCTTTGAACCAACTTAAAAAAAAAAAAATTCCCACAACACCTGAGCCAGTGGCATTGATCCTTAGCCTGATGATTTCTGCTTCTCTTTCTAGGTCCACCATATGAACCCGCCCACTCACCCACCATCAGCAGAAAAAAACTCTTTGCTCCAGTCCCTTTCCCATCAGGCTCCACCGAGGATGTGTCTCCCAGTGGTCCTGCGCAGCCACCTCCTCTACCCCAGAAAAAGATAGTGAGCCGTGCGGCTTCTTCCCCTGATGGCTTCTTCTGGACCCAAGGTTCCCCTAAGCCACGGACAGCAAGTCCCAAGCTGAACCTAAGCCACTCAGAAACCAATGTCTGTGCCCACGACGAGCCTCCTTTTAGCTATTCCTTGAACCCTGGGAACCATTCCCATCATGCTTTCTCCTCATCTGAACCTTTGGAGAAAGCTTTCAAAGGCAGTGCCCCCTGGGCTCCCGCTGTGGGCCTGGCAGGCAGCAAAGGTGGCTGTGGGAGCCCTGGTCTTCAGTGCAGGGCGGCCACCTCCACCTCATCTTCCCAGCTCAGCGTATCCAGCCAGGCCTCCTCCGGCAGCACCCAGCTACAGCTTCACAGCCTTCTGAGTAGCATTAGCAGCAAGGAGGGCACCTATGCCAAGCTTGGGGGCCTCTACACCCAGTCCCTGGCCCGCCTAGTGACCAAGTGTGAAGACCTCTTCATGGGTGGCCAGAAAAAGGAACTGCGCTTCAACGAGAATAACTGGTCACTCTTCAAGCTGACGTGCAACAAGCCTTGTTGTGACTCAGGGGATGCGATTTACTACTGTGCCACCTGCTCCGAGGACCCTGGCAGCACCTATGCTGTGAAAGTAGGTACTACCCCCCCTTCCATTCTATGGTCTGACTGGTTGGTCCTGGACAAGTCATTCCTCCTCTCCAAGCTTTTGTAAGCAGACTGATTAGCAGGCTTCCCTTTACCCTTGGCACTGGGTAATCTCACTCTTTTCCTGGCCCTGGGGAGTAGTGCCTGGCATGAGTATAAGATGTGGTCAGTGCTCTTATGTTTGTGGTCCAGATGCAACAGGAAAATGGCTGTTAGTGCCACAGAGTTCACTCAAGTATTCAGCAGGTTTTTCTTCCCAAAGGTCTTAGCATAGAGGTGTGAACAGGAGATTCTTTATGGCACTTATGATCCAATAAAAGAGATGGACTGTTAAGTGGTGGAGGCAGGAACATTAGATTTAGGCATTGTCCTGAGCAGTGTAAGTGATGATAAGATAACATTTGCTCAGTATTTACTGTTACAGTTACTGTCTTGGCTGGTGGATTAGTTATCTATGCCACTGCAGTGAAGAGATTTTTCCTTGAAGAAACTTGTGATTTCACCAGAAAAGACAGATGAGAGCCCTGAGGAGCTCTGGAATCATCATTCAAAGGAGCTTTGTACACCTAAAAGCTACCCCTCCATAAAGACGGCATGGGGAAACTAAGAAACTCCATGTAGTTCACAGACATCAGGATCACAAAAGTCTTGGATTAGGTTATGGCCAAGAGAGCAGACACTGGTAGCAAGAAAATACTGTCAGGCTCCGTGATCCCAGCTACTCCAGAGGCTGAAGTAGGAGGATCCACAGTTCACGGCCTGCCTGGGCTACGCAGTGAGAAAAAGGCCCATCTGGGTAAATCAGCAAGACTCAGTCTTGCAATGGAAAATGGAGGGTTGGGATGTACCTCGGTAGTAAATCACTTGATTAGCGTACGTGAGGCCCCTGCTTTAATCACCGGTGCCACAGGAAATGAAAAGAGGAGGGGGGGAGGAAAGAGGAGGAAGAAGGCAGCAGTCGTAGCGGAGCTTTATGATACGAGTTCTCAGACTTCATTGTCACTTCATGCCTGAAGCCAGAAGCTGCCTTCCGAGTAAGTTAAATTTCATGCCCATTCCCCCAACCCAAGTGAAAAGAAGGAAAGTTCATTTTTCTTGCTAGGATGGCTGTACCCATCATATTTACTTTTTGACTTACACTGATACTTATACTGAAGCTAGATCCCATTTTAAGTTGCAAATATGGCAAGTCGAAAATGCATTGAATGCTCTACGGAACCTCCAGCCCAGCAGCTCAGCCATCATGGAGTGTCCATTGAGACTAAACAGGTTCCTTATTGGCCCTCCCACCCAGCATCCCAAGAAGGAAATTTTTATTTTTATTTTTATTTTTTTGAGACAGGGTTTCTCTGTGTAGCCTTGGCTGTCCTGGATCCACTTTGTAGACCAGGCTGGTCTTGATCCACCTGCCTCTGCCTCCCAAGTGCTCAAATTAAAGGCATGCATTGCCTCTGCTGCTGCCGCCCAACCAGGGAAAGAGCAACTTTGAAGTAAAATTGCTAACGAGTTTATATTTCTGCCTTTGCACTGTTATGATGTAGAGAAGACGAGTAACTGTTTGAAATCAGGGGCCATCTGCACGGGAGAGGATGACTGAAAAATTCTCTGAGCAAGGTGAACTGGATGCCCAGCTTGCCATGTGGACACCCTCGGGGAAAGGATGAAGGGAGGAAGGGCTAGATGTTCAGTGAAATGAGTACTTGGTATGTGACTAGTCCTCCAGTCTTCTTCTCCTTGACCCTGTCAATCATGTGCTCATGAGCTTTTGTCACTCTCCTTGCTTCCTGGTGCTAAACCTGGAGGTCTCAGGCAATCTTGAAGAGACTTAATTCAAAGAAAATGATGGGATTCCGTGGCAAGAGCCAAGCAGAGAGCCCAGCACTGAGTTCAAACCTTGGGCAGGGAATCTTTCCCAATATACAAGTGACTATACCAAATAGCCTGGAATCCAGGGCCCATCTTCCCCAATACACAACACAAAGTTCAGCTTTCCCAGAGGATGGTAGAAGCAAGCATTATCCCTGTTGCATCATGAGTTTAAGTCAGGAGAAAACCTGAAGATAAGCCTTGATCCCCACTGAAGAGGATCCCAGAGGGTTCCTATTTGACTTTCCTGGAGGAGCGGAATTTCACTGAACCATGTGAACAATGAAGTTTGGAGAATGGCATCAAATAATGCGATACTGTAATTAGCCAAGGCGTTATTACTGTGTAAATGTGCCTGCCGTGGCGGTGGGGGGAGGGGAGCTGTGAGCGTCATTTTGGCACGTGCAGCTGTTCCACTTCATTAGCAGTGCAGTCTAGACGGAATACAGTCATCCGAGAGCCCACGGGAGGGGGAGCTGGGCTCCTTCCCAGCCTCCGCCTGAGTGTGCCCCTGAGCTCAGTTCATCTGTGCATGTTAAGCAGGGAGCCGACACCGAAATCAGAGGCAGCATTGCTTCTGAATCCCGCGAACAATAGCAGATGGGCACCTGCTGGCACCTGACTCTGGAGCCTCCAATCACAGGCTCCTTGGCCTGCAACATTGAGGTGTGAACTGGCCCTTATAGCCTGACTCCATGAATATGTGGCAGAACGAGAGCAATTGTTCGTGTGGGTTTTGAAGCTGTTTCTGAGCTGTGTAGAGTTGCAATTCATAATTAGGGACTTGCGTGGACTGAGCCTTTGGGCCTTTCTTCTTTCTTTTTTTTTCCTTTTCTTTTCTTTTCTTTTCTTGTGGTTGTTGCTTAACAGACATGACTTGGTCCAGAATTTTGCCCATCCTTGAGGCTCCGGTTCCAAGGCTTAAGACAGGACAAAGTTTGCACAAAAGTTTGGAATTTGAGCCGAGCCAGAGGTCTTTGGAAAGTTCCAGGATTAAAACCAAGGGCAGGGTCGCCTGCACATGAAATGGGTGGCAGAGGAGGGGGATGGGGGTGAAGATCGTTGTCTCCATTCCTCATTCTTCATCTCAAATGTAGGATGATCTTAGGGTTCCCCACTCAGAAATGGGAGGGGGACCAGTTAGCTGTTCCTGGGGCAACTTTCTCCAGTGGAGGGGGGTGGCTGTGCTGTGGGGGCTTTCTGGAGGCCCTGCTCACTGATTTTGTCATGCAGCCAGCTAGGTTACTATTTACCCATTTCCTTCATTTACATCTCTGCAAAAATGTCAGTGGCTCAACTGGAGCTCTGGGCCTCTGGGTTTGCTGGGCTGGGGCCTTTTATACCCTGGAGGAAAGACAGCCTTGGAAGCCCTTTCCAGGGCCTGGCAGCTGCTCAGTCAAGGGTTGTAGAGAATGTGTAAACCGGCTCTGGATACCCTGCCCCACCACTGAATGGTTACAGACATAATGGCAAGAGCAGTCGCCATAGCAACCCCATCATTGCAGGCTCACCGTAGGCCTGGCTTGGTGCCCAAAGCCATACCTGCATCATTTAAGCTAATCCCTGGGAGCCAGCCGCCACTGCCCCATTTAAAGCACAGAGAAAACAGAATGAGAGATAAATGCCACCCATCACCCGCATTGTTGCTTCCGTGTTTGTAGCAGAATCTGCCCACTGAAATGTATTTGTAACCCACAAATCAATACTCAAAAGCATTTTCCCATCTGCATATGCTTTCTGCTCCGACCAAAAGCACATGTTATTTTTTAGTATATTCAGTGCCAGGGAGCCGGTGACAAGCCTTCCAGCAAAAATATGGGTTAGAGTTTTGTCAGTTCAATGTCAACAATATAGAGTAAATAAGGCCTTTCCAAGCACATTGCACCCAAGACAAAGTCATGTAGCCATCAGATGTTGAAAAGACTGTGACTGGAATCACCAAAGCCCTGCCCTATATTTGTGGGTGACTGGTTCCATATTTGCTAGTCCGGTATTTGAAGCTCCTTTACAAACCATAACTACTTCAGATAAGACTCTATGTAACTTGTCAAAGGTTGCCAAGTTAATATTTAAGCTTGTCTGTTCCTTCCTAAGGCCTCCACGTTTGACTTAAAGAACACTTCCCAGGCTCCTAGTTGGGTAAATAGTTTCAAATCAAAAGGTTCACTGTCCCCTCTCTTAGAACACCTACTACTTTGAGCTTTGTGGGATTATAGGAGATGTTTTGTGGAAAACCCCATGGGCAGCACAGTTCCCACATACGCAAGTGTCAAGTGTGGTTTGTACGCGCGCACGTGTGTGTGTGTGTGTGTGTGTGTGTGTACTGTTAAAAAAAAAAGAGGTCCCAGTGAACACCTTTTACCTATCCACCAAGACCTTGATCAGCAATGTTTGGTCAGCCACTGAGTATTTATAGTCAAGGCTTTTGTGAGAGACTCATCCCCACAAATTCTCTTTCATTTGAAAGTGTTCCGAGGCCGAGGAGATGGCTCAGCCAGTGAAGGAATTTGCTGTGCAGACCTTACAATATGAGTGTGAACAGCCACCATGGAAGGAGAAACCAATCAGGAGAAGTTGCCCTTTGATACTCTTACCTCCCCCACGCTCCATGACCCACACTCTCACATCACCTCCCTCACACACACATAGCATCATCATAAAAACAATAATAATGTCGAACTGAAAAAAAAAATCATAAAAGAATGCCAGAGGACTGTCATTTAAAAGCAGTGCAGTGTGGCTGGGTTTGCTGCAATGAGACCCTGGAGCAAGACCCTTTATGCATGGATATTCCAAATCAGTTTTATTAGTGTAATGAGGAGCAATTTCTGGGGTAGATATACTTTCTTTTTTATTTCTATTCTGCCTCCACAATAGAGAGATTAATGCGCTAATGTGCAACCCACTCCTTGGTTTGCTTTTAAAAAAAATATTCAGAGACTGAATGAATTCTTTGATGTAGAGTTCTGTGCTGTAAGGTTGATATAGCTGCAAGTAGGAATAAGGAGCTATGAATGGTCTATACAACTGAACTTTAGAAAACTTTGCCCAAAAGTCATGTGGTGCTTCCTGTAGCTAGGAGGTACCATTCTTCTCCTATCTAAAGCTGGGCAGCATTGCATGAAAAGCAGAGGACGAGAGAGACAGGGATACACAGAAAGAACAGCCCCTTTCCGTGTAATCACAAGGAAACTGAGGTCTGAGGATCTCCAGTTAAGTTGGGGCTGGGAAGAGTGTTAGCTTTCCTCTGGTGGCTGGCCCTAAGGGTATAAGCAGAAGAGACGAGGTGATGGCTGTTCGGACTCTCCCAGGAACCCTCCCACAGGTGTTTGAAATTATTTATTGATTTACTCCTGCTTTCAGGTCTGAAGATGCCCTCCAGCCCTGCTGGCTCCCTTTTCCAGGAGAGCGCCCTGTTTTCTTCTAGGCACTGTGGCTCGGCTCAGAGCAGAGTACAGCTTCCCCCAGCCATTTGCATGAGTCACCCCGAGGTCCTTTCATAGAGCAGGCGTTGCCCCTTACCTAAACCTAGGAAGCAGGGCAACTGAAGAGAGTGTGGCCAAGTCCTAAAGGTGTGAGGATACCATTGTCCCTGAAGTTCCCTGAGAAGGAGTATCCCCGCGGTGAAATAGCACCTGCTCTCATGCCAAAGGATGGGGAGGCAGACTGGATAGTGTGGAAACTGCTCAGAGACTCCAGCCTGGCCACTCTGTTTTTCCAAGAGCCGTATTTCTCTTGTTCCACAGTTCCCCCCGAAGCTCCACAGGCTTCAGTTATTTTCTTCTGTGGACCATGCTTCCCGTGTGGATTTTTCTCCCCCTGAAACAGAGCTTCTCTGTGTAGCCTTGGCTGCCCTGGAACTGGCTCTGTAGACCAGGCTGGCCTTGAACTCCCAGAGATCCTCACTCTGCCTCTGAACTGCTGAGATCAAAGGTGCACGCCACCACCTCCCGGCCTGGTGTGGATTATTAAAAATAAAAAAAAGGGAGGTGGGAGGGGGGGGGGAAATACTGCTTAAACCAAAATCTCAAAAAAAATGCTGTCATATATTTCTTCTTCACATTTTTCTAAAATTTGTACGCTTTAGCACTCTTTAGTCTTTGTGCGCCGGACGTGAGGTAAGGAGTTTACCTCTTGGTGTGAGGACGCCAAATATCCTGGCATTTGTTTCGCAGAACCATGGGTTCCACTCCTAACCTCGAATCTCCTTCTTGCCACAGATCTGCAAAACCCCGGAACCCAAGTCATCCTCCTACTGCAGCCCGTCTGTGCCAGTGCACTTCAACATCCAGCAAGACTGCGGCCACTTTGTGGCCTCTGTGCCCTCCAGCATGCTCGCCTCCCCCGACACATCCAGCAAGGACCCCGTGCCTGCCGCCCCCTCCCAACCCCCAGCCCAGGAGCAGGACTGTGTGGTGGTCATCACCCGGGAGGTGCCTCACCAGACGGCCTCCGACTTCGTGAGGGACTCCACGGCCAGCCACCGGTCAGAGCCTGAGGTTTACGAGCGCCGGGTGTGCTTCCTGCTTCTACAGCTCTGCAACGGGCTGGAGCACCTCAAAGAGCACGGTATCATCCACCGCGACCTGTGTCTGGAGAACCTGCTACTGGCGCACTGCAACCCTCAGGGCTCCCCGGGGGCCTCCTCCTCTCCCGCCGCGCCCACCACCACAACCACCACCACCACCACCACCACCACCACCACCACCTCCCGGTGCCCTTCTGCCACGCCCACAGCCGCCGCCGCCGCCTGCCAAGGAGGGTCCAGTGAGAAGCACCTGCCCCGGCTCATCATCAGCAACTTCCTGAAGGCCAAGCAGAAGCCAGGCGGCACCCCCAACCTGCAGCAGAAGAAGAGCCAGGCCAGGCTGGCCCCCGAGATCGTGTCTGCCTCCCAGTACCGCAAGTTTGATGAGTTCCAGGCCGGCATCCTCATCTATGAGCTGCTCCACCAGCCCAACCCGTTCGAGGTGCGAGCCCAGCTGCGGGAACGCGATTACCGGCGGGAGGACCTACCCCCGCTGCCCACGCTGTCCCTCTACTCTCCCGGCCTGCAGCAGCTGGCCCACCTGTTGCTCGAGGCCGACCCCATCAAGCGCATCCGCATAAGCGAGGCGAAGCGGGTGCTGCAGTGCCTGCTGTGGGGGCCGCGGCGGGAGCTGGTGGAGCAGCCTTGCGCCTCCGAGGAGGTGCTGTGTGGCACTCTGCACAACTGGATCGACATGAAGCGGGCCCTGATGATGATGAAGTTTGCCGAGAAGGCGGTAGACCGAAGGCGGGGTGTGGAGCTGGAGGACTGGCTCTGCTGCCAGTACCTGGCCTCGGCAGAGCCGGGGGCCCTCTTGCAGACCCTGAAGCTCCTGCAACTCCTCTGAGCCTCCAGCCAGACAGTTCCGCCGCCGCCTGCCACGCCCACCCTATACCCTTGGCTTGCCTGCATCCGGGTTCCCCTGGGAAATGGTACAAATGACTGTCATCGTTGGATGTAATATTTTTATATATACATATATAATATAAATATGAAAGACTGAAGGTGTCCTTTCACACACGCCAGCCCCCTCTCCTCACACAGCCCCCGTCCCTCCACCGCCCCCGGCCCTGTAATTATGTACAATTCAAGCTTCCTGCAAGGTCCTGAAGACAGTTCGACGGACAGAACAAAGCTTGGACTTCTGCCTCGCTACCCTGTTATGAAGTCTCCTCGCCCTTTTGTCAAACTGTTATTTAAAAACAAAAACAAAAACAACCTCCACAATAAAAAGCAAAATGTCTTACGTTATCTTCTTTTTAATTGAGTTGCAAGCAAATCCCTTTTACCTCCAAGTGCTCGAGTCCAGCAGACTCGTTGATGAGTAGAATCTATTTCCCACCGCAGAGGAGCACACTACCTGGAATTGCCTTTGATCTTGCTGTTCCAGGGTAGGGGAATGCCTATTGAAGCCGGGGTGTGTTGGGTGTGTTGAGATGGGTAAATGTTCTTTTTTTTCTTCCCACACAGCAGGATTGTTAGGTGGGATCCTGGGGGTTTGAAATGTAACCCTGCTGCTCTAAACAAACCCATCTCTGGTTTGCCAAAGCTGTTCTCATTGTACTATGGAGAGACCTGACTAAAAAGTAAAGCCCAGCTGCCTAGTTCTAAAGAAAGACCCCTACCATGGTCTTCCTACAATGTGGTAGGCTATTAAAACAAACAAACAAAAACAACAACAACAAAGAGAAGATAAAAGCAAGCAGCAGAGCAGCCATTGGTGTTTCCCATCAGGCCTCTGCAGCCAGAGATGGAAAAGTAGTTTCCTGTTGAGTCAGTTTGCCTTCTGCCATCCCCAGGCTCAACAGGAGATCTCTGTTTTCAACCCACTTGTCGATCTTTTGCTTTAACAAAAACTGTTTAACAGCTGGCCATTGTAATCCCAGCTCTTGAGAGGCAGAGGCAGGTGGCTCTCTGTAAGTTCGAGGCCAGCCTGATCTATATAGCAAGCTACAGTTCAGCCAGGGCTACGTAGTAAAACCCTGTCTTCAAAAACCCATCAAACCCATTTAACATATATCAGTATACCTTCTATCTTTTGAAGCTAATAATATTGTGCCTTAAAAAAAAAAAATTAAGAGGCAGTAGATCTATCCTCCTAAAACCGAATGCACACATATATGACTCCTTCAAGGAAAATATCTCCAAGGCCGCTGTATTTCTACCTGAAGATAACCTTTCAACTATTGAACTCATTAGTTTCTCCTTTCTTATTAATGGCTATGGACAATTTTTAAACATACACAAAAGCCTTTATTGATGTCCCTGGAATCTGGAAGTGTGGCTAGCAGCCAAGAAGATTGTCCCTTTCTGCACATTAACTCCATTCCCTTTGCAAACTCTATCCTCTGGCCTGTGACACCTTGTAAACATCCATTTATTTTTCTCCACCAGTGATGAAAGTAGCACCTGGGGGCGTTTATAATTTCAGTTGTCACTTGAGCATTGAAGGGAAAAATTGCCTCAAACCAGTTCTCACTATGTCCACAGAAGGTCTTGGAACCTGGGACTTGGGAAATCGTGATTCTCTGTAGGGTCTGTCTAAATTGATGGAGCCGTATTTGCTGTTTGTTGCTGGAAATTTTTTTTTTTCATACAAAACCTCCAGACCTTGAGTCTGTCTTTTTCTCTCTTGAAATAAATAAACAGTGGAGAGGGAAGAAAGAAGCATTTTGCCAGGGGACTTCAGAGTTAACTGGAAGCATACATGTCTCTGGAGGCATATTTCTAATCTCTGAGTTAATTGTACCTTTTTAATATGCCACTGACCCCGGGGAGAGGAGCAAGTTGAATTTGTGAGAATGATGTTAGTAACCAGAAGCAACAAAACAGAAAGAAAAAAAAAAAAAAAGAGGAGAGGGCGTGAAGGAAGAAACGAAGGCAATGAATTCTGAATTCTGGTTGAGAGGAATGAGACCAATTAAAGTTTTGGACTGCTCACCAGCCTCTCCTAGAAGAAGAAAGCCCGCTCTGGGAGAATTCTTTCTCTTGTAATTTTGACGAACCATTCACCAGGGAGAAGGAACCTTTGCCTAGCCCTTGGTTCTAAAGGGAATTTGTCAAGAAGCCTTTGTTTGAAGACACTGAATAATATTCTAGGAGCTGTTTCAAAAAGAAAGAAAAGGCTTTTTTTTTTTTTTTTTTTTTTTTTTTTTTTTTTTTTCCTAAAATAGGCCAATCTCTTATATTCACCCTTGACAAAATCTTAGTGTGTGGGGCTCAAGGCCTTCCCAGCAAGCCAGGTCTCTGGAGAAATTATGACATACAGCTACAAATAACAGTTTGTCAAATAGCTCCAGCTACTCTCCCTTCAGAGGGTCAATAAAGCTGGTCTCCCTCATTCAGAATTCACCTGGGTGTGCTCCTGTGAATAGACACAACAGTCTTGTGCTGTAGGGCTGTAGGTCAGAAATTCTCAGGGTATGAGGACTCGCTGCCACATCTTGCTAGGTAACACATCCTCTGAGGCTGAGGGTGAGGCTTTGTGCAAGAAGCCATTTCTAGGTACTACAGAGCCCTTCACTCACCCTCGCAAAGAAAATTTCAATACTGTGAACCTGAGAGTTTCAAAGAAACACTTCTACTGTGAGTTTGCCTCCCTCTTTCCTCTTGGCTTTAAAACTAGTTATTGGTATTTAAACCCATTTTCCTTCTCCAGTTCTGAGTCAGGTCGCCCCCATATCCTTTGCACATATGTAATTTTTTGTCATTAATAGCCCTTTCTGGTTTTATGCTAAGAAGAGGAATCGTTTCTCCCCACCCAAATTCTTTCTGTGGGAGTTACAACGCCTTACAGCTGAATCCTGAACACCCTTGCCAAAAGCAAGACAGGCACTTCAGAGGTTGTTTATTTACCATAACACATGGCTCGGCTTAAAAAATCCCAGGCTCTGCAGAGCTACATTTACCACTTTATATAACACTTACTGGTTCTCCAGAGCCAAGGGTTGGAGAAAGCTTGTGCGATGTACACATGAACACAAAATATTATGAAAATTTTGGAAGAGGAAAGATACACGTTACTCCAATGACTTCTCTGAAGTCTGTGCTTTAACCACACTGCCAATCGGGCTGGGGAGATGGCTCAGTAGATGAAGTACTTGCTATGGAAATGTCAAAACCTGAATTTGGATCTCCATCAACCAGGTAAAAGCCAGGCAGGCTGGCACACATTTGTAATGCCAGGGCCTGGCGGGGTGAAGTCAGCCATTCCCAAAGACTTGCCAGCCAGTCTAGCTGAAACAAATGTCAAACTCCAGATTTTCTGAGGCAATGAGCCTTGGACAAAGACACCAAATATCACCCTCTAGCCACCTCATGCACACCCACAGGTGAGCACAACATACCCCCCCCCAACTTTCACAATGAAAACATGCACAGACAAAATAGTAAGATAGCCAGGCCATCTTCACTCTGCTGGCATCTAAGAATCGTTCAAAATCTAAAGATTTGGTGGTAAATCTCACTTAAGTAGTTGTTTTTAATGTTCAATATACTTGCTGTTTTTAATAAAAGGTGACTGGAATGGGAGTAATTCAATAAAGCCCCAAATATGGGGGCATGGGGGTTTGGTCAGTTGATAAGGTGCTTGCCAGGTAACATTTAAGCATGAGGATTTGAGTTTAGGTGCCAGAATCAATTCAGGTAAAGTGACATTAGGCCAGAACTCCAGCGATCCTTAACAGATCCAAGCAATCAGTCTTCTCTGTCTTCAGCTCTCAGGACTGTATCCCAACTTGGTAGAGTCAGGGAAACAAGATCAAATTGACTTCAGTGCTTTGCATTCTGTGCCAGGGAGAACTTGACCACACGCACGGATTGCTTATCTAAATGCTGGTGTGAAGTCACTCTGCTCCGTATCAGAGGAAATTATGGCAATTTCTTAAACGGCCCTTCCTAGACGCAGCTCTGCCTTCTCAGAGGCAACTGGGCCTAGAACCGAGTAGAGGAAGTTGAACGTGGAGGAAGGAGAGAAGTGAGAAGACAAGGTTAAAAGACACTTGTCTGTCAGGACTCTTCTTGCCCATCTCTAAGAATGAGGAAGCAATGCCTGCTTCTCCTTTCCTAGGTTGTGGGGAGTTGAGCTTCTGAAATGGCAGTCCATAGATTCCTTAATGATGAAAACACTAAGAATCTGCCCCCCCCCCTCCTGACACTGACGGCGGAATTTAGGATTGGGCATGCTCAGCAGGCCCTGTGCCATCCCTCAGCCCGGAGCAGTGGCACCTCTTGTATGTCCTGGACTGGCAGTGCCTGTGTTTCCCTAAAGGAGTAATGGGATTTTCTCTCCTCTTCTCAGCTTGTTATTGTTGTTTAATCTGCCTTTAAAACATAAAATAATAGATGGCAATGAAAAGTTACAGATTTTCCAAACAGTTCAACTTAGAAAAGTATCGCTCCATCATGCTTCCAGCCTGTTCTTAGGCCTCCATCTTTCCCCCCCCTGTTCCTAGCCACTCCATAGTAGTTTAACTGGCCAGTCTCTGCTTCATCCTCCCTGCATTTCAATTGCACAGAAACTAGTAGTCAGCCCTCCACAACTGAGGCTTCTGCATATGCAAAATTACCCAATCAGAGATTATGAATATTCATGAAAAAAGCTGGCACCAGTACTGAACATGCACTGACATTTTCTGGTAATTATTCCCTAAACAGCGCTGTGTGACAACATTGTATTAGGCGTCACAGGCAGTCTAATGTACAAAGTATAAAGGAGAATTGCGTAGGCTATCTGTAAATACGATCCTGCTTTACATAAAAGGTTTGAGCAGCCAAGGATCTGGGCATTCACCAAAGGCTCCCCAGGATGATGGAGAGAGAATGCATGCGTGTACTTCTTTTTTAATACTGACTTAGCACAGTAGGCAGGTAAGAACTCTTGGCTTCCCTCCTGTCACAGTACCTCAATAGGAATAATCCTGAAAGAGCAAACATCACCATCTCTCCATTCTCTCAGAGTAAGCCTCATCATCCCTCCCATCCTTTGCAGGCTTGGGCAGTCCCAGCTCAGCAAATCTTTCAGTATCTCGTCCTGTCTTGCCTCCTGGGTTAGGTTTTAAGGCAGTGCATTCTTTTCCCTCGGGAAATTAAAGATTGTTTTCTTCCCATACGGAAATCTTTCAGTGTACCCTAAACCACAATTGATGTTGGCAGCAGACTCCTAAGTTCAATGATAAAAGTTATCCTGAAGCCCAGGTTAGTGCCTGGAGCAAAACTGGCATGTTTGCATTTGAACCTCTTGACTTC